AAGTATTTCAAACTGTATATAGAAACAACACACTGTACCCCATGATAGTATTAATGTATACAGATATGATTTAATAATAATAAAAAAACAGGCTACCTTTTCCCCCACTAAAAATAAAAACAGGTATTTTGATTTCAGTGATGGATAATTAATACCTTTACAGTAGATTTGTTTAAATGCCAGGTTCTTTTATTTTTATCTATTATTATTTTTCTACAATTTGTTTCACTGCATAATGTACTTAGACTTGAAAAGATGAAAACTTACTCCTCAGCTAGACTTCCTCCTGAGCTAATTAAGAGGCATCACAGTATATTAGAATTAAGTAAGAAACTTAACGAAAGTTTTCATTATTCTAGTTGGGCAGAATGGATCAGTTAATTAGAAAACATGATTTGCATTACACAAATAGCCACTATACCATGCATGCTTCAGAACCTAGTTCCACTCTAATTTTGTTAATTCTTGGCTACTTTCTTGGAATGGCTTAGAATGGCTATTCAGTTGACATGTTTTTTGCTTAGTATTTTGACTGTTGTGAATTATGCTATTATTTTTCTTGATAGTCTAAAAAATACTGAGTTTGACCTGGTCTTGCTTGTGGTCTTTTTTTGAGAGACAAGAGTCTCAGTTTGTCGCCCTCGGTAGAGTACTGTGATGTCACAGCTCACAGCTATGTCCAACTCATGGGCTCAAGTGATTCTCTTGCCTCAGCCTCCCAAGTAGCTGGGACTACAGGTGCCTGCCACAACGCTGGGCTATTTTTAAGAGAGGAAATCTTGCTCTGGTTCAGGCTGGTTTTGAACCTCTGAGCTCAGGCAACCTACGCACCTCGGCCTCCACAGTGCTGGGATTACAGGCATGTGCCACGGCACCCGGCCTGGTCTCGCTTGTTAAGTGGAATGTGTTCGATGATTTTGGGATAATTAGTTTTAATAATTTTTTTTTTGTAATTCCAAAACACAACTAAAAATATATCTCATTTTAAAATTTCTGAGAATATTTTTATAATTTTATTCTTTTTTATTCTTTATTCTTTTTTAACATAGGCTTACAACTTTGAACAAAATTTAAATATAGATGAAAAATAACAAAATATAATCCCATTGGTTATTTTCTAATCATAAAAATACTTTCCTGAACTATTATTTGAAATACTACATCCTCACGAGAAGACACACATGGACAAACCAGAAATGCTGCTGGGGTGAAGCGGGGCACATGGCTGCTCCTTAAGGACTCAGACAGACAGAAACCACCTTTCAAATTATCAGAAAATCACGGACTTTAAAACAACTAGATCTTGGCCATCCAGAATTTATCCCAAAGTGTACACAAATGACTATCTTGATGATCTAGAATTTATCCTCAAAAATATAGCAAAGAAAAAAAAAATTCCAGAGAACCATATGTATCGTTGCTTAGGAGCCACTAAAATTATATTACCTTCTGGAGAACGTCTAAAGCGGTAAGTACGGCTTCCTGTAAACTTGTCAGAACTGCTTCAGTGTAAGACGGGAGAATAAAAGGGGAGGCATCTGAACTGATAGGGACTGAAATGGCACTGTGTAGTATGACGCCCAATTTGTGCAAGTCGTCCATGTTGAAACCAGTTTTTATGTGTTGGTAGAGAGCTGGAAATATCTGAATTAAAGCTGTGAGAAAAGGTTGGCTGGGAATGAAAGTCAGTTTGTCAAAGGTAATAGGAGGCTTCGTGCTTTCAGAACCAATTCTATACCAGGTATTCCAGGCAGCCCACCAGAGATTCAAATCTTCCAGCTCATCAGTAACTACGGGTGGCTCAGAGCTGCTGTATTTTCCGAGTCTTTCTCCAATGGAGTCTGTTCTTACAAATGGCCTGCTCAGGCCAGCGCCCGACAGGGACCCGATGAGAACAGGCACAGGGACATTAACTACAGGTGGTGTCTCCGGCTTATCTGAGTCTCGGACAGGGGACACGATCTGTAGAATTTCCTGGAAGCTTTTCAGAGCAGCCAGAGACACTTCGTTGTTCTTGCTGAGTGCAGCTGACTGGATGTGGTCGAGAAGAACGTCCCAAGCTCTTGGAAAGTCTCCTATATAGAAAAGGAAAAAAATTACCAAAATGATCAAATGTTCTCTTAATATTAGAGGCCTGAAAGCATATTTGCTTCAATTCCCTCAGAACTAGGAAAAAATATGATTAGGTACTAAAGTACTAACAATATGAATTAAAATCATCACAACCCAGAAATCCAGTAAAAATTTTCAGATGTAGGAACAAAGGGTACCAGGAAGAGGATAACTGGCACATTAAGTAAAGTTCAGGTCTTACAAACCAAATTCTAGATATGCATGAACATGCTCACACCATTTTCTAGTACTTCTGCTTAAGGAGAACAGAATAAAACCCTACGAAGGCAAAACCAAAGCTCTTCAGTAATGTCTGTGGTCTGTTGGTCATCAATGATTAGGTAAGATATTCTCAGTCTCAATCATTATCATTGGGAAAAGCTGTACGCTATAACAGAATAATACATTTTTTTATAGGTCTGCATATTTATTTTTTTGAGATAGAGTCTCACTATGTCGCCCTCAGTAGAGTGCCATGGCATCACAGCTCATAGCAACCTCAAACTCTTGGGTTTAAGCAATTCTCTTGCCCCCTTCCAAGTAGCTGGGACTACAGGCACCTGTCACAGTGTCCAGCTATTTTTTGGTTGTAGTTGTCATTGTTGTTTAGCTGGCCCGGGCCAGGTGTGAACCCGCCAGCCCTGGTGTATGTGGTCGGCGCCTACCCACTGAGCTATGGGTGCCAAGCCAGGTCTGAATATTTAAAATAAACTGTATGTCTTATTATATAAACCTTAAGTTTATATTTTAGTTTTCATATTTAAGTAATTTTATAGTTGCAGAATCTTAAACCTTTTTTTCACAAGAGTTAGTGAGTTACCAAGAGAAAACACACCATCAACAAACTGTCCTTTTACAAATGACTTCGTCCCTCTCATGCGAAACTGAGTCTCCAGACCCACTATCAGCAGAGCATAAGCTGAATGACAGCTGCTGGTGTCCACCGTCAAACTAATTTACTCCCGTGACTGACTAAATACATTTATGCCAAAGCTCTCCATGACCTGTTTGTTTCTATGAAGGTCAAAAACAAAAAAACACAAAAAAACCCTTTTCTCTAGCACAATCAAAACCCAAAGCTTTGTTAATACCACAGACAATTATCCATGTACATTAAAATAATGCAAGTTAGAGAAACTGATATTTCCCAAAGCAGTATGACAAAAGTATACCATAAAGTATATAAACAATCAGGGTTTAAATACTTTTATTTTGCTAAGGCTGTAAAATGACTAGATTTGTTTAAAAAAAAAAGGGGGGGGGGAATTTGTTTTAAAAAAAGGATAAAGCCAAATCCCTGAGGAAGCATTCAGTTAACAGGAAAACGGGAGCAGGTCTGGTGTAAACAGCAGGTGCCACCTTCCTGCTCCGAGCAAACCGCAACAAACAGCCAGTTCCATGCATCTTCTACTTTTTTCTTTAAATTTTGCTTTCAACTGGCTTTCACTCATCTTAGTTTGAAGTTTTTATTTTATTTTATTTTCCTTTTCTTCCTTTAGCAATTCTCTTGCCCTTAGCCTCCCAAGTAGCTGGGACTACAGGAGCCCGCCACAACGACCGGCTTTTTTTGGTAGAGATAGGATCTCACTCTGGCTCAGGATGGTCTTGAACCCCTGAGCTCAGGCAATCCACCCCCCACCCCCCTGCCTCCCACAGTGCTAGGACTACAGGCCTGAGCCACCATGCCCGTCCTCCACACTCCTTTGTTAAAAACTGAGGAGAATTTACATGCAATAAAAACACAGATTTTAAAGTAAACTGTTCAAAGAGCTTTCACAAATCACACTGTAAAACTACCAAACAGGCGGCATCTGTGACTCAGTGGGTAGGGCGCCAGCCACATACACCCAAGGGTGGTGGGTTCGAATGTGGTTCGGACCAGCTAAACAATGACATCTGCAACAAAAAAATAGCTGGGCATTGTGGCGGGTGGCTGTAGTCCCAGCTACTTGGGAGGCTAAGGCAAAAGAATCACGTAAGCACAAGAGTTTGAGGTTACTGTGAGCTGTGATGCCATGGCACTCTACAAAGGACCACATACTGAGTCTCAAAAGAAGAAAAAAAAAAAGAAAAAAGAAAACTACCAAACAGTTAACACACTTCTGCCTGTTGCCATCCCAGTTAAAAAGTCAGATGAAACACTCCATTTGGCAACTGGAGTGGTACCCTAAGCTCAGGTTTAGAATATCCTGTGCCACTTAACACATTTTATGTCTAGAAATAAGTCCTCTTTCTAAAAGAGCAGGTATAATTATATATTTATATGATGTTAAAAATAATAAACTATTTTAAAATAATACTACTTTCTAGAAATTAGAAAGGCATAAAAAATGTCCTTTTCCTCCATTTCTAAAAAACTAAATCTATATGTTCTTACCTTTTAAGATAATGTATCACGGAAGTATTAAAATGATGCTTATTTTGTTATGACTCAGCAAACGTACAGTGAAAATTTGTGCATATAAATTTCACAAAAAAAGAAAAACTAAAATTAAAAAATAATATGTATCAAGTCCTAAAGTGCAAAATGGACCAGACACCATCAAGTATTTGTTTCTGGGGAAAGTACAGGTGAAGAACAGCACACAGAAGGGCCTGTGGGAGAGTGAGTACGCTCATGCTCTAACAAGGGAGGCTGAAGAGCCAAACGTAAAATACTAAGTGAAACGAATAAACGTGTACAGCACACTCACAGCTACGACTAAGACACCTCTGTTCAGTTTTCCCTCCCCTCACCCCCTGCCTACCACCAGAATCTAAAGCACAGTCGTCAGCACACCCGTACTTCATCTCAGGACCACTGACACTTCCAGTTGGACCATCTTTGTTGTGGGGGGCTGTGCTGTGTACTGTGAGATGTGTGGCATCATCCCTCCCCATCTGTGACAACTAAAAAAGCCTCCAGAATTGCTAACTGTCCTATTTGATATAAAACCGGCCCTATTTAAGAACCACTGATCTATGCCACCAACAGCCTCTGAGCAATCTGACAGCAGCCTCTCGCCCTTCCTTGCTGCCACTCTATTCCACTCTCACCAACGAGAGTGAGTTTTTAAATTTTTATCCAATGATGTCACATTACAGCTTGAAACCTTTTCATGGTTCCCGTTCAACGCTCTGAGGAGAAAGTTCTGTCTGTCTAACACATTCTGCATGGTCTGGCATCTCCCAGCCTCGCACCCTGACTGGGGATCAGGCTTTTCCTCACTCTCTTCATTCTAGATCTTCACCATCCCTCTCTCCTCAGTCTTCTCCTGTCTCTTGTTCTATCTGAAAGGTTCTCCACGAAATAAATGAAAACACACACACTCATGCACACAGCAACACACAGACTGCAAGTTAAGAATTATTCTTGGGTAGAAGCATCACATAAATTTTAAAAGAATCTTCTATATTTTCCAAATTTCCTTTAATATGAATTACTTATATAATGAGAAGAAAAATGTATATATACCTAAAGGTTGCAGTAAATATCTTCTAGTGTTGAAGATTCTTGCTACCCCAGCCAACGTTAACACCCATGTCTCAGCCCACTGCTTCTCTGCTGTGTCCCTTGAGTGATGAATGAGAATATTGCCACCTCCAGACTCAATCTTTTCTTTGTCTGCGGTGGTAGAGGACTCTCGAACACGGTCCAATAAATGAAAGAGCACCTAAATATTTATAAAAATGTCACATAAAATGTATTGATAATAAAGCTTAAGAAACAGCGCAAAAATCTAAAAATTATTATAAGAAATATACTTTACAATATTATCAATCCCCACATATTAGAGGAAATTGACCAACAGAGGTAGCCATGCATTCTTAAGTTTATCCTTAAGGCATTGGAATAGGAAAAATAAAAATAAATTGGACAGAATATAAACTAAGACTTGTTGAATCGAGGTATCAATGGATAGCATCTGGGGGGCAATGTATAAAATAAGAACAAAAGGTGAGGAGGAGTCTGGGCAAAAAAATAATTAACAT